AGGGAGGAAAACCCGTCTGGATAACAGCAGACTGACTGCTGGTGAAATATACGACAGGTCTGGACCACTCGTGAATTTTGTTCATATCTGAAGAAAATCTTAGAATATGAAAACATTGGTGAATGCCACAAATTCTCCTAAATCACTCATATGCACAACTTAAGAACAAATCTGTGCGTACGAATGGTTCTTGATTTGATTTGATTTATTTAACAGGAAAAGATTATTAAAAATCAAGCCTGACTCAGCATAATTGCAGTTTTACAGCAGGGTCCTGTTCTGCAGCACATACAACACTCAGAATTACAGCATCACTGGCATGAGGCCCATTGTCCACAAATGGCGAAAGCATGGAACAGTACTGATCCTGCCCAGGAGTCAGCCAAAATTACCCCAAGAGTGCAGCGATGACAGAGACCCCACAGCTACATCCAAAGAACTGCAGGCCTCACTGGCCTCAGTTTAGGTCAGTGTTCAGGCCTCCACCATAAGAAAGAAACTGGGTAAAAATGAATTGCATGGCAGAGTTCCAATATGAAAACCACTCCTGAGCATAAAGAACAAAGGCTCATCTCAGTTTTGCCAGAAAACATCTTGATGAATACTCTGGACTGACGGTCTAAGTAACAGCATTTCAGAAAAGGAACATCATACAAACACTAAAACATGGTGGTGGTAGTGTAATGGTCTGGGGGTCTGAGGCTGTTTTGCAGCTTCAGGACCTGGAAGACTTCCTGTGGTGAATGAACAATGAATTCTGCTGTCTACCAAAAAATTCTGTAGGAGATTGTCCGGCCAGTTTGTGACCTCACAATGGACAATGATCCAAAAGTCACCAGCAAGTCCACCTCTGCATGGCTTAAAAAAACAACAAATTTAAGACTGTGGCCTAATCAAAGCCCTGACCTAAAATCAATTGAGATGCTTATAAAAGCAGTTCAAGCTCAAAAACCCTCGAATGTGGCTGAATTACAACAATGCCAAGATGAGTGGGCCAGGAATCCTCTGCAGCGCTGCAAGACTCATTGACAGTTATCACAAGGGGTGTAAGAAAATATCGATACACTGAAATATTGCGATTTCATTTCCAGATACTGTATCGATATTCTAAAACCCTGTATCAAATTTTTATTAAGGTTTAAAACATCCACTTTCCTGCCAGCTGTTCATTTTATGTTGTAGTTCAGCCTCTGACCACTAGTTGGCAGCAGTGAGCCAGCCATTTGGCTCCTCTACCTCTTGAGCGCCAGAGAGTAAGGGTAGCATTAGCATTGTAAGTAAACATTAGCTTCATGCTCCGATAGCGGAATCGGAGTGGAAAAGACCGACACGCTCTGCCTTCTAAGCTGAGGTAAGGTTACGAACAGAATGTCTGTATTTTAAGCCAAATTAAGTGTCTCATGCGCTCTTTTTCCAACTGTAGTCAGCCATCATATAGCACATGCGGCTAGCGTCTCGAGCGAGCTCAGCACTCCCCTGTGACATAAAACTGTCTGTTGCTCTCAATGTCCGGCTGATCGCATCAAAGTCCATATACTTTAAGTTTATCCTGCTGTATTCACTTCTAAAAAGTTTTAACTGTGTTGTTTAGCTTCTCCATTTATTTACTGTTTATTTTCGGGACCTGCCCTGCTGTTCGACCCACAGTTATACAAATCAGGTTCTGGATGCAGGTCAGTTGATCCCAGAAACTCTGTGTGCAGCAGCTTCATATCATCCGTTTACTGAACTTTATGACAACATAAAGGCTATTTTTAAGTGTTGGGTGACCATATTGTAAATTAATATTAAAAACTAAAAGCTGCAAAAAATATATTTTCTAACTATTTATTGGCAAATTTAGTCTAATAATTGAAAACATGGATGAAATATGAACCAAATAAAATAAAAATACATACAAAGCAGAACACAGCTAAAT